TAGCTGGAACAGTTTCCCCATTACGTTGTTTCGTAATGTCTGATTGCTTATAAATGCAGTTGCACTTAACATTTGGGCAGACTGCCATTATTTCACATTCACTCAAAACTTTTAAATTAGAAATTAACATTAAGTCATTGACTGTTTTCGGAAAAAGGGAATGAAGAGGATGCTTAATCAATGCAAGAATAAAGTTGATTATTGAAATAATCAAAGAAAAAAGACTATTTGAACAGTAATAGTTTAACTTCAACTTAACAAGAATATGGCAGATCCACTTTACAAAAGGAATTAAGTTATCTCCTTCCGGAATGTCTTGTTGAGCGCAGCTAGAAGTTTTGCCTGGCAAAATGTCCTCTCCTCTTGCTGGTATCTCTTTGTAATCTATAAGAAATGAAAAAATGAAAATTTACTGAAGGAATGATTACTGGGTTTCTTGAAAGGAAACTTAATCGAGAATAATATTGAGATTCCTTTGTTCAATGGAATTATTCTCGGTTTGGAACCACATGACATGATGGTCACGTTGGTGGTGAAAACAATGAAATTGTGTCAAAACATTTACATGAAAATAGAGTTTAGTGCCCACAGGAAAGAGATGTTTTTGTTTTCGACCACCATTTGACAGAACTTCAGAGAGAACGCTTGCAATAAAATTTTGTTCATGAATAATTATGTCACAAGCGTAATTTTTGGACACAAGATTTATAAATTTAAGGTTAGAGCTCAACACACACTTGTGTTAAAAGTTTGTTCATTGCATAATTTTTGGACACAAGATTTCTAAATTTAAGGTTATGACGGGTAAATAGCTATGACATCACCTGCTTATCCACACAGAGGCAAAGCATACCACAAGCTAAAAGGACTTTACTTTTCGATTGTTCAGTTATTCCTTAATTAGTGAACAACAAAAAATTTACAAAGTGTTAAACAAGAAATGACATTATCAAATTAAGATGTGATATGGTAAACATTGAGGTTATAAGTAATGATCCAAAGGAAAGAAAGAACCTGAAGGAAAGAACCAAAGGGAAATAAACATGTCAGAATGCAAAAAGGTGCCAATTCTACTGTTATCTCTACCTCACTTCTGATTGGTTTCACCTTCACATTTTTTGAAATCTTTACAAAGCAGCATGTATATTTGATTCCTTGTTTTCTTACCTAAGAAACCCTATTTGAGGAACATGTAAAATTAATTTTTTTCAATTTTTCTTTGCTGTTGTTTGCAAATCTTATGATTGGTTGATATCTTTTAACAAAAAAACACCCCCAAAAAATGCAGTTTAAATAATTGTTTTATTTTATAAACAGCGTTTATGTAGGTTTATGCATTCTCTGTGTGGAAATGAAAACATTCCTAAGTGAGGAAAGCATATTGCTTTATAAAACAAAAGAAATTATTGCCTCCCATATACATATACTGTTATGAAAACACTAAAGAAATACTTGCAGGTTGTATCTTCACTCAGGATGAATCGCGGTTGCAAGGTTGTTCAATAAGCCATTTGCAGCAAAAATATGGTAATTTGGTGTTTATTATACAGCTGCTTGTAGATACACACACGCTTGTCAAATATTTTCAAGTGCTTTAATAACCCTTTAAGCCCCAATAGTGACCAAAATCAATTTTCTCCTAACAATACCCACAGATTGTCAAGAGAAAAGTCTACAATCTTTGATCTTTTATCAGATTATCTCAACTAATTCTTTAAGGAAATGTATGGAGATCAGTTTGGAGAATTTGTATGTGGATATTGGGGGTTAAAGGGTTAATAGGTCACAAATCCCTCCTGTCTCTCCTTACCTGTAGTATCACTGACCTCTTCAGTCTATATTAAACTATGATCCTTGACAATTTTAAAGTCTTTGCAACAGTGATGCAATATGTGTTTTTTTTTAAAATTTATTTCTGGGTGCCCTCATTAGTAAAGGGTTACCCTTTTGAAAAATGCCTGACGTGCACTTCTCTCACTCCCCACTCCCCCCCCCCCCCCCCCCCCACCCCCCCCCCTCCCCCCCCCCCCAACACCCAAAAAACCCACCCCCCCAACAAAATAATTATGTTGAAAAAGGATGGGGGAGTTACGAATGATGAAATGAGAACAAATAAAGAGATGAGACATGAAATATAAAATATAATAAAATTGATATATTTTTATTTGTAGGTATTTTATAATATTTAGTTTTT